ATAAATGATGCATTCACTCAATCGACTGATCAACTTACCAAAACATTGCAAGATATTCGTTCTGTCTGTATTACCACAGATTTATGGTCATCACGTAATGATGAACCATATATTGGTATTACGGCTGGATGGTTAGATCCTAAAGATTGGACACTAAAAGAGGGATTATTAGCTTGTGAAAAAATCCAAGGAAGGCATACTGGTGAAAATATTAAAAATACTATAACTCAAATTATAGACTGGTTTCAACTAAAGCAAAAATTATTCACTGCTACTACAGATAATGGAGCGAATGTTGTAAAAGCAATTCGATTAATGGAAATTTCACATGTGCCATGTTCAGCGCATACTTTACATCTCAGTGTATCAAAAGGTCTTAATGTAGCTAAAGCATTTAAAAAGCGTATAACTAATCTTATTTTACACTTTAATGGTAGCCCTAAGCAAACTGAAAACCTTAAAGATGCGCAACGTAAATTAAACTATTTAACAGTTTATGAAGTTCTTTTAGATGTTAAAACAAGGTGGAATTCTACCTATCTTGCCTGGAAACGTTTGCTTGAACTAAAAAATGCTATAATCTATCTTGGTACGGTCTTAAAAATTTCTTCAGAAAAAAGTGATAAAGAGGATGCTGAATATTTAGAACGAATTAATTTGACAAATTCAGAATGGAGGTAAATTTTTAGTTATCTAATTATAGTATTAGAAAAATTTTATAATTAACAAAAAAATTAGCAAAGAATTCAAAAAAAGTAATTATAAAAAAAAACGTACAGTCGACTCTGGATATAACGAACCTCTCTGTAATGAACACCGGATACAGTATAACGAAATAAAAATTTTTAAATTTTAATATTAGTTCGATATAAAAAAAGATTTTTTTTTTAAGACAAACATAGTAAACATTATATAGCGAACTGATTTTATTCAGAATTTAGGGTTCGTTATAGAGAGAGTTGACTGGATTCGTTACGTGTCATAAAATATATAAAACAATTGTATAAATAAAATATTTGCAAATATATATTTAATTTAATTATATATAATATTTAGTAACTAAATTGCATCGATTATTATAGTCTACTTTCCGACATATTAGCTTTGTTAGCTCCTTTTTATGAAGCAACCAAAATGTTATCGGGTGTTACATATGCTACTCTTAATATGGTCTGTCATACAATGCACTACCTTAAAAAAACTGTAGCTCCACCCGAAGACGAAGATGATGAATATTACACAAATTTATTAAATGACGAATTAGATGAAGTTGCAAGCCAAGATGAAGATACCGATGATGAAGTTACAACTAGTAATCAACGATCACAATTCAAGAACCGTCGTGCTATAAGTTTACCTAATTCTACTATAGGTGTTTTAGAGAAGATCAAAGCTACTATCTACTTAAGTATGTGTCAATATTGGGATTGTCCAAAAGAGACTACTTTACTTTCAGCATTGTTAGATCCTCGATACAAAAAGCTTAAATTTGCAACAGAAGCTCAACGTAATATGGCAATTGATAAACTAAACGAATTGTATCGAATTGAGCAAGCTGCTATTATTGAAGAATCAAATGATGATTTATATGTCAGCTCATCTGGATCATTGGTCACAAATGAACCTTTAAGTACTAGTACTAATCAAGTTAATTATTCTTTGCTCGGAATATATGAAGATTCAGATGATGAAAGTAGTATTTCTGATGAAGTTGCTCGATACTTAGCTTTACCAAAAGTATCTCCGAATCGTAATGTACTAGAATGGTGGAAAGGTCATGTTAATGTTTTGCCAGTTTTGTCTAGATTGGCAATGAAGTATTTAGCAATTCCTGCTACATCCGTACCAAGCGAAAGGCTGTTTTCTGATGCTGGTCTCCATTTATCTGCTCGTCGTACCTGCTTAAAACCCGAGTTATTGGCATCTATGCTATTTCTGAAAAGAAATATGAAACTGTTCGATGTTTTTGATAAAGAAGAAAACTGATTATTATTAGAATTAATGTAATAACGAAGCTAGTTAAAAGATTTTAGCATACATTGTGTAAGGATAAGAATCATTTTAAATAAATTTTCTGCGCTTTATCAAATTTATATAAAAATCGTGAACCGGATAACAATCAGGTAATTGTTCAAGTGATTGTACGGGTATCACGGCTAGAGGAAGAGACTTATGCCAAGTTTATATTAGGAGAGTAGTTGATTATTATCTTTATTAATAATTAAAACTATTAGAACTAACCGTAACCGTTACATTCTTAGGAGCGATACTCTATCCAATACATATATGACGTAAGAGGAAGATGAGAGCTATGTAATATTTACAAAGAAAGTAATAATGGGAAGAATGATGAAATAATATTGTTAAAAATAAAAAGGAAATGAAGTAATATTGGCGTTGACCGGGAGCTGACATAATGATGATCTAATCGGCCTTTACCTGTTACGGGATAACAAATTTTCTCGTGACAACAGATGTGCAACGATCTATAAATTTGTAAATAGCGATAAATTATTTCTTAAAAATAAATAATCTTGGGAGTATAGATGCAGAAATATGATCGATGACGTAATATTTTTACAGCGCTCGCAGTCGTAACTCAAGACGTGACCGATATGTCAAAAAGCTACTGTAACATTGACTTATGTCGTAACTTCGGATATGTGCCATAACAAATATGAAGTATCAAGCCGATATTTTTTTGAAATAATGAATTTGTTAATAACTTACGATATAACAGATTTTTTTAAAATTTTTACCAATAGAATGTGTCACTTCACAAAATGAGAGTGACTTATATACAATATATTATATAATGTAAATTCTCGAAAAAAATTAACTTTTCCTTTACTACAGAATTTATCATAAATTGGTTTTATTTATTCGACGCATTTACATTACATTCTTTAAATTCTCTTAAGATTGATTAAAATTTGAAGTTCTTTAACGCAAATAAGTTCAATATAGTTTGAAAACAATGATTAAGGTAGCAACTCAATGAGACGATCCATTGGGGTATAGCTGAACTTTATGACTTAAATTTCTAATTCAACAATTAAACAGTATCGACCAGAACCTCAAGATTAAAAATCCATACTAACATCGTCTTTAATAATAGTATCTGCAATATCAGTTGAAAATTCAAATTGTATGATTACTCTATCTTGAAAACCGGGATCCTGAAGATTTCAATATCTTTTAAATATATTAGTTTGAACATCATGAATTCGAATTTTCTTCACACGCTTCATATACATCATTGTTATTAGTACTTCCACTTATTTCTTCCTCATCTCATCCGTCATATCATCATTGTCGCAACTCAGTATCGAAATACTTCAATTTGTTGACTTTTTTTTTTTTTAAGAAAAAAAAAAAATCTATTTTGAATTTTTTCGTACAATTTATTTCTTATTTATTAGGAGAGTTAAATTACGTTATCAAAGTTAAATTACATATATCACGCTTAAGTTACGTATGTCATATCCTGCATCACGTCCATTATCAGAGTTATGACCAAAAATTTAGTTGCGACAAATGTCGGCTATTACGGCATACGTTGTTATGACACTTTTGACGTAACCGCTTATCTTTTTGACGTAACCATACGTCCTCAAGTTTCTGCATCTATACATGTTAGTTCAAAATTCTTGGACAATTTGAGTAAATTTAAAATTCATTTCAACTTAACTATTTGGGACAAGTTGATTTAAATATATTTTATTCCGGTATACAATGTTTACATTTGCGCAATTTTAAATTTATTGTTGGATAAATCATATATTAATTATTCGAATAACTATATATATTCGAATAATTATAATTATTC